AACCTTACATTTTTCATTCATACAACTCAGATTACACAACATGCAGTATAAATTAAACACATAAGCTTCCCTTACCCGGATTAGAATTCAAGCTTGTCCTAGAAGTAAAAATGGCTTTGTCCAACTAAGCTTTCCTCACGTTCTTGACTCTTCCAAACAAAAATCTAACCATGGAACACAGAACACTTAGAATACATGCTTGCATGTATGAAAAACTCTATTTTTCCAGAAACCTACGGACGAACTACAGTAAGGAGACTTACCAGGTTGGATTTAATTTCTGTTCGGTCCAAAATGAAGATCACAACTGGACGAACACTCCTACGGTGCTGAAATCGTGATTGGAGAAGAGATATAAGTTTTTACAGTAAAAAGGAAGTTCACTGGTTCAAGAGAGAAGTTGGAGAATATGAAAGGGTGAATTTCAGAGGTTGAAGATGAGTTCGTGTAAGGGAAAGTGTGTTTTCGAAAAGTCTGATTTTTGTTAAACTAATGTTAAATTGGAAAAACGTGTCACAGGTTGCCACATGCACACCAAACTCTGATTTGGAATTCTCTCCCGTGACACGTGGTGTGCTTGCATGCAAAGATTGGTGCATTTTTTAATGCAGCAGAGAAATGATGGTGGCTTAAATTTTCGTGCACAGCAGAGGTGAAAATCAGAATTGGGAGTGGGTTTTAAATGGCTGGGAATGAGGTGGCAAGCATTAAGGGTGAGGTGTCAGGATTAACTTAAGCTAATTATTAAGGATCTCACAACAATGATTTATTAAATATTAGGAGATGGCAATAAAAATTAGTAAAGGAAAATTGTATAAGTATTTAAAAAAATCACATTAATCCTTAAAGGATTAGAAGACTGACATGAAAGAGAAATAGAATTTCATTACAATAAGTTAAAACCATTACAAGTGACAAAACACAAAAATACTTAAAAAAGAGAGGTTATATTTGGTTACTTAAACCATATCCCAAAGATTAACATGAGTGACTCCACGGTTATATGACGACAACAAAGTTAAGAAAAAATTTAGTTGTTAATTTCATTGCAAGAAAAGGAGAGTTATAGGAAGGCTCGAGATCAATTTTCAACCTAGAGAAAATTTCTGAAAAAGAGATAGGGGAATTAACTCTCTTCTTCTTGATGCACGATAGATGTACATTTTAGGTTTATGATTTTGATATGAGCATGTTGGATTTAGTAATGTTAGCTATGTGTCTATGCGTATGGATTTTGGTTGTTCTTGACTGTGTTTTTTGTGTTTTCCATTTGGAGTTACCACATTAAAACTTTAATCTCCATTTGTTTACTATTAGATTAAGTTTAATTTTTTATATATGTTTTGTGAGATATATTAATTTACTTTGACCGTTCAAAATTTTAATTTACGGTTTGTAATTAAAGAGATGAATTTCACAATCTTGAATAAATTGATCCCTACTTTATTCCTGTCTCATAGTTACTTTGGTAAAATTTCAATTTCCACTTAATTTACCGTTCCATTAAACTAAAATTTTTATATATGATCCCTGAAGGAGCTTACTCCTCCTTTTTTTGCTGTTCTGATTTTTCATTAGGAATCTGTCTTTAGAGGAATAAATTTCGCATATTTGAGTAACCTGATTAACACTATAATTTTGTCTATAAGTTACCTCAGTAAAAATGTTAGTCTGACCTTGTTTACCATTAGATTGACCTGATAATTTGATATATGTTCCGTAAGACATATAAAATCATCTTGACTGCTCAAATTCTTAATTGGATGATTATGCTTAGAGGAATTAATTTCACAGTTTGGATATATCTGAAAAACCACTTAAATTCCATTTTTAAATTACCGTGAAAAAACTTCAATTTTCACTTAATTATATTTTTAATCAACTGAAACTTTTATAGTAGGTTTTAAACATGTTATTTACTTTGATCCGTTAAATCCTTAATTAAATTAAATTACCGTGGTAAAACATCAATTCCAACCTAGTTAACTTTGTAATATGTAGTTTCTAAGATATATTGATTCACGTTAACCGTTCGATTTTAAATTGGATCTTATATTTAAGAAATTTTTTTCGGATTTATTTGAAAACTCAACCCCTTCTTAAATTCTGTTTTTAAGTCATATAGAAAAAATTAAGATTTTCACTTTATTATATGTTGGATCAACTGAAACTTTTATAGTAGGTTTTAAACATGTTATTTACTTTGATCCGTTAAATCCTTAATTAAATGTATGTAATGAGAACAATCATCCCACATAATACTCTAACTGTTTAAATTGTTAATAACATCATTTGATTATTATTGGGTTAAATTTTGAATAACTGTATTTATTGATTTGTATGAACATTATTCTATGTTGAATTATGAGCATGAATTTGGATCAAATATGTGTGTTTGTGTTTGTATTCGTGCGATTATCATATAAATATAACTTGTTTTGTTATACAGAAGTTCAAATAAGAATATAGATAATTTTGGAGTTGAGGATTGACGAGATAAGAGATTGACTATGAGAATTTTGTTTAAAAGTTATCTAATAAAAATTTATAAGAATGTTTCAAAAATTTATAAAATTAGTGTATGAATAGAAATTGATGTTTTTATTAATAAATAAAATGAAAAAATTTTCATTTGAGAAAGAGTGTTACAACTATTAATAAAAAGGTTTAATCCTTTACTACATCCCTATTTATGTACGAATATATCAATTGGGTCCTCGTTATTTAAAATGTATCAAAATGGTCAATAATTTTGAAAATTGATATCAATTGAGTCCTTTCCGTTAAGTTGGTTGGACGGCGTTAAAAAAATTGATGAGTGGATGCTGAGATGACAAACGAGCGCTCGTCCAGCAGCGAACGAACGCTCGTCCAGCAGTGAACGAACGCTCGTCCACCAGAGAACGAACGCTCATCGACCTCTTACTGCTGGACAACCGTTCGTTCCACACTGGACGACCGTTCGTTCGGTGGTCGACGAGCGTTCGTTCGCTGATGGACGAGCGTTCGTTCGCGGGTGGACGAGCACTCGTTCGTCATCTCAGCATCCCACTCATCAATTTTTTTAACGCCGTCCAGCAAACTTAAAGGAAAGGACTCAATTGATATCAATTTTCAAAATTAGGGACCATTTTGATACACTTTAAAAAACGAGGAACCAATTGAAAAATTCGTACATAAATAGGGATGTAGTAAAGGATTAAACCTAATAAAAATAAAGGTAAGAATTGGACTTTCTGAAAATCAAATTTTAAACTAAAATCAAAAGTATATTATGTGTATAAATATGATGCAAAAAAGTAATTTTAAAATCAAATGTATTAAGGAGGAAAAAAAAACGAATCTAGAACTCACTGGAAAAAGCTCAGCCGCCTTAATTGGGACCCTCAACAAAAGGCCACTTGACCTCTGAAAAAATCATGCTATCGTGTAATGATCTTATGGAATTTTAAAAAGACAAGAGAAAAATTCGGTAGAAATTTCTATTTTTCTGTCTCTGACCCTCCTATCTTATGCTGATTGGTCACTCAAAAAGTTTCGCCACTATCTTATTTTCAGTTCACACTGAAATGTTTACATTTCATTCTCAAACCAAAATCAGACCGTCGATTTTCTGCTGACTTTTTGACGATATTTGATAACAATATTTTCCAACATTCTAACATAGATCACGTGTCATGAGTGGTACACGTAGAAAACAATTTTTAGAAATGAGAATAACGTGGAAAGAGAATTGAGGTAGATGTTTCAAGTTTGGGGCTTCATTTTTAATATTCAAATTTTGAATTTGAAACTTTGTTGGAGAGAGAACAAAAGCTTAGTAGGGAGAGAGAACAAAAGCTTAGTAGAGAGTACGAATCCTTCTCCCTTCCTCTGACGTTGAGTTTCAGTTTCTTCCACTCGGTTCCTTGCGTAGCGGTCTGTTGATAATTGGAGTGCCGCCTGTGAAACTATTTGCAATCACACGTGGTCCCTGTCAGAAATATTGTCAAATATTCTTGATAATGTTTTTTTTATTAAATCTCTAAACTATATTAATATTAATATATTAAAAAACTTATTTAATTTATTTTAAAACATTAGAAATCAGTAATTATTAATATGTTTTAAAAATCTTTAAAATATACTTATATTAATATAGAGTAATGATTTTTTCACACATCTAAATTCTTTTATATTTATTTGATACTATTCTTTCTTACTTTTTATTCTTTTCTTCCTTAAAAAAATACACAAATTTATATTTTTATAACTATTTTATCCTTTATTTTCTGTATAAATGTAAAAGTAGGTCGTGGTAAAATCGTTCGTTAACATATTAGTTAAAGAAGGGACCATTCATCAATAGGCGATGATATTTTATACTTTTTGTTTTACATATACTTAATTTAAAATTTTTCTACAATAGTATAATACCTAAAGTTATCTTATTAATTTAGAAATTTACATTATTATATTATTATAATGAGTGGTGGCAGAGAGAGTGAGACGTTATTAAAATCCAATCTTCGTGGCCTCAAGTATACTACGCACACACAATCATCTCTTCGATAAAATGGATCTAAATGTCTCTGCGATTGGACTTGTTTCTCTAACCCTCTTCTGTTTCTTTTTCTGTCGTTTCTTCAAATTTTCCAAAGGAAAAGCGGCTCCCACAGTTGCAGGTGCATGGCCAATACTTGGTCATCTTCCATTGTTGAATGATTCGAAGGCACCCCATAGAACTTTGGGTGCTTTGGCTGACAAATATGGACCCATTTTCACCGTCCAACTTGGTTCAAAAAAGACTTTGGTGATCAGCAACTGGGAAATGGCAAAGGAATGCTTCACCACAAACGACGCGGTGGTTTCCTCTCGCCCCAAGCTTGCCGCCGCCGAACACATGACCTACAACAAAGCCATGTTCTCCGTAGCACCATGTGGTCCCTATTGGCGAACAACTAGAAAGATTGCTACTTCAGAGATTCTCTCCCCTCACCGAGTGAAGCAGCTACGTCATGTTTTTGAGTCAGAAGTTCAAGGTTCCATCAAGGAGCTCTTTAACTTTTGGTGTAGCAACAAGAACGAGTGTGGCTATGCCTTGGTGGAGTTGAAGCAATGGTTTTCTCATTTGATATTCAACGTTGTTCTTCAAATGGTTTTGGGAAAGCGATATTTTAGTTTAGGAACCGTGGATGATGAGAAGGCAGGAAGATGTGTGAAGGCTGTGAAGGAGTTCATGCGTCTTTTCGGGGTGTTCACAGTGGGAGATGCTGTTCCTTGGTTGAGATGGTTTGATTTTGGAGGCCATGAGAAGGCCATGAAAGAAACTGCCAAGGAAATGGATAGTCTTGTAAGTGAGTGGTTAGAGGAGCATAGACAAAACAAGGCTTTGGGTGGAAAGGTTGATGGATTTCAAGATTTCATGGACGTCATGATTTCAATGCTTGATGGACAAACGAATAATGGGGTCGATGCAGATACCATGATCAAATCCACTGTACTGGTATGTATATATGTTCATACATGAATTTCGATTCTCTGCTGTATTGTATAAATTGCTACTTATACATTTCTTTCATTGCATATTTGTTTTGCAGACAATAATTGCAGGAGCAACTGACACAATCAGTGCTACTCTTACCTGGGCAATGTGTTTGATATTAAGAAACCCTAATGTATTGGAAAAAGTTAAAGAAGAGCTTCACATAGTTGGTAAAGAGAAATGGCTAAGTGAGAATGACATTACTAAGTTAATATACCTTCAAGCTACAGTCAAAGAAACGTTAAGACTGTACCCTCCAGCTCCTCTTTCTGCACCTCATGAATTCACAGAGGATTGTACTATAAATGGCTACAATGTCACAAAGGGAACCCGTTTGATTACAAATCTTTGGAAGATCCACACAGATGAATATGTTTGGTCAGATCCATTAGAGTTTAAACCAGAAAGGTTTCTCACAACTCATAAAGATATTGACATGAAGGGTCATCATTTTGAACTGTTACCATTTGGAGGAGGTAGAAGGATTTGTCCTGGAATATCTTATGGTCTTCAAGTTGTTCATTTAGTTCTTGCTAGTTTTTTACAACATTTCGAAATCTTAAACCCGTTAACTGAAGCTCTTAATATGTCTGAAACTTTTGGATTAACCAACACTAAAACCACTCCACTTGATATTCTGGTTAAACCATGTCTGTCTTTTAATTGTTATGAAAGAGGTCTTTGCACAAAACTATAAAATAGGAGATGAAGATGTATTTAATTTTACAACATATAGTGAATAATTTGCTAAAACAGTGATGCTATATATTAGAAGATGAAGTCTTTATTGATGTATGGTTTGTAAAGGCTATATAAAAGCCACTTTTATTCAATAAAGTATCAATTGGTTTGTAGGTCGGATATATTTTTATTATTTCTTACAAACTGATATCAAATCCTGTCACTCGTGCATATTAATAAGTCATAACTTAGTTAAGAGAGAAGAAAATATACTAGAAAGATGGGCTTTGTTACCAAAGTAGGCAAAAATGTGGTATTTATTACCAAAGTAGGCAAAAATTGACTAAAAGTGAAGTCGTGGGGGATCCAAACAACTTCAAATGAAGAAGTCGTGACCCCCCTGCACGACTTCACACTGTTCATAGCAACAGTGTTGAAGTCGTGCACCCCAAAACCGACTTCTGGGTCCTGTAATCGATTACCATTTTTTGGTAATCGATTACACAATGTTGAAATCATGACCCCTGCAAGACTGGAAATGTGAAGGCAGAAAACGTACTGGTAATCGATGACGCCATTTTGGTAATCGATTACCAGGTGGGTTATGTTGGAAGAAGCACTCTTACGTGAAACTTTCTGGAAAAATCGCGCCCGGGCGCGGACGATCTGTATGTGGACGAGCGTTCACTGAAAATGGACGAGCGTCCAATGCTCCTGCCGAGCGTCCACTGAGCGCATCTCGACGAGCGTCCTCTTAGCTAGATGGACGAACGTCCTCTTAGCTTTCTGGACGAGCGTTCTCTCTGCCTGGCTGGACGAGCGTCCTCTTCTGCCTGGACGAGAGTCCGCTTCTGCCTGGACGAGCGTCCTCTTCTGCCTTGCACCAAAACAACCTGGTAATCGATTACACATGTTTTGTAATCGATTACCAGTGCTTTTGGTGGCATACAAATTTGAA